CTGAGGAGAGGGTCACGCTGCCCCACATGAAGTCTTACAAAATAAGAGCCCCATTCTATAGGGCTGGATCCTTAATTTGTGTCAAAATCTGATCCGATTGGCCTGTACTTTTTTCTGAGCTCTCTTTTCCTCATCATTTCAGATTCCCTCTGCAAATATATGCAGAATCTTTTTATCTAGCCTGCTTCTGGCTCCCCTCCTGCAGAATTTTCTCCAGTGTTAGTAAGATCACAACTCATCTCCATGGAGTGAATGCAAATATACAGCAGTAGGTGTCAAGCCATCTGCTCAGTGGGCTAATATTTTAGAGAATGTAATTCCTTTACACATTCTTTACACTCAGCCTCTTATCTGGCCTCATCTCTTGATTTCCCCCCCCCCCCCCCACCATTTCAAGTACCCAGGGCCTCTCCTGGAAAATGCAAGATTGTTTCATAACACCTATTATGGAATTTGTCGATCCTAGTCAGAGGGGAAAGTAAGCGGTTATGGTGTACTGGTAAGGAAGTGGCTGCCGGTCCACAGCTGACTGTACCGGCAGGGCCGCTGATGGGGCGGAAGGGGGAAGGGCAAAAGAGGCAGCTACCTCAGGGCCCGGCGATTTAAAACGGCCTGGGGCTCCCGGCCGTGACTGCCGCTACCGCACCAGTGGCTGGAGCCCCAGGCCCTTTAAATCACGGCTAGAGTTCCGGGCGGCACGGGCCGGGCAGTGCTGACGGCTGACTAGGGGAGTCTGGCCCCAACCCCACACCTTCTGCCCAAAGCCCCTGCCCTTCTGGGGGGCCCAGAGCCGGCCCCCTCCACACCTTGCCCAGGACCCCGGCCGCCCTGCGTATAGGTAAGCCAGTTAAGTTGCTTTCACCCCGATCCTAGTCCTGTTATCGGTTAGTCATATGCAGATGCTCTGTTAGTATTTGTCCCATTATTCCCCCAAGGACTGAAGTTAAAATTGGACAGGAATTATCAGCGCTTGTGCTCCACCTGCACCTCACTTCATTGAAGATAAGTGAGGAATTCAGTTCTTAACCTTGTTCTGTTTTACCCACAGTACTTCCGCAGTTCTCTGGATTTTTTTCCCCCCTCCACAAGTCATCAGGACAATTAGTTCAACACTTAGTCAATGTATTTAACACCCCCGAGTGTTACATCTTGCAGCCATAAACGCAGTAAATTTTCCCCCAAGTATTCTCCAATCTGTTTTTGTTTCAACAGCGACTATAGGGCTATGCTAGTGACTCCACTCCAGAGTTATGATCTTAACAGCTCTTATGGGAATGTTCTATATAATTTAACAGATGAAAAGCTTTCTAATTTTCTATTTTTAAACCCATCTATTGAATTATATAGTAAGAATATCATTCTCTATTAAAGTCTATAGATTTTTAACAAACATTTTGAGCCCTATTTAACTCCTGATGTTTCACCCCTATTGAATTTCACTGGACTTGTCCATAAAGGTAGCTAACAAAGCCCAGATCACTTCCTTCATTATAACTTCTTCAAAAAGATGCTATCTGAAATTTCTGGTTCTCTGTGCTTGCATGTTCTCTGGCCATAAGAGAAATTTTCCCACATAAATAGCGTGAAGATAATCAGACAAGGCAGCCTGGAAACATGAGTGATATTGGAGCTTTTTGGTAAGTAACATTTTCTGGATCATTTCACAAACTCTTTCACCTAGAAACTTCATTGGTTTCATTCAGTTGTCCTCAATGAGGGCCAGTGCCTTTGAGTGATTTTAGGAAGTGTGGTTGGGTTACTTTAGAGTTAAGTACCACAAAACTAGAATCTTTGGAAACTCAGATTTTTGGTGATCGTTATGAACGGCTTAGACTGCTAATCCTATAGACCTAAGCACTAGTCTCCCCCGTTGTTGTTTTTTTTTAAATGCAGCTTATGATTGTACTGCTTTTCATTGCAAAAATAGCCTTGAAATGTAAACCAGTTATTATGAGTAAAAGTCTGTCAAGGCTTTTATTCTTAATAGTGAGTTATTCACAGTCCTATCCTATCCCCCTCCCAGCCACTGGCTGTCAGAGCTTTATCTTACCTGCTGGCATCTTCACATAAATATGCTTTCCCCCCTAGAACTGGCAGGCTCGGGCTGAATCTCCTCCCTCCCTTCCTACCCCCATGTTTCCCTCATATCCCTGCTCTGCAAGTCAGTGCCTATGCCAGCAACTCTGCTATGAAAAGCTGCTAATGCTCACCATTCCTTGATCCACAGCCTTTCCCCTATGCCCATGCACCCGATAAGAGTTGTACCTATCTACAATTGTCTGATCAGCTTCACAAGATTTCTATTACTGCTTCAGTTGTCCACAACTCTTTCACCCTATTTTTCCCCTTAGGAGCCTAATTTCTAAAAGTAATTCAGTATCTCAACCGTTTTAGAATCATTGGGTCAGATCCTCAGCTGTCAGACCTTTGCCCATGTCCACCAGCTGAGAATTTGGTCCGTTGATTACATCTCCTTCCTTGTTTATTAGTGAGCCTTCTTCCTCTCTAGGGTTTTTTTCCCCCTCCATATATTTACAGAAGTCCTTCTTACTCACATCAACCTCATTCCAGCATTAACCCATTCTGCTTTTTTGCTACCTCATCTTTTTCCTGCAAGCCTTAGCTAACTAACATTTTGGTTTATTTTTCTTCCCCTCTCCTTCATTTCCCAGAGAGGTTCTTTTCTAGTCTTATATCTACAATTACCCCATAGAGAAATGACACTGGATGCTTCTTGTCTCACTTCCCCACCCCCATCTCATTTCCAGTGAATGGCAGCAGTATGTTGAACTTTAATTGCAGTGACCTAGATTTTCAGACTTGGGCATCTGAAGTTAAATTCCTAAATACATACATTATAGGGCTGTTGATTAATCACAGTTAACTCACACTATTAACTAAAAAAAATTGATTAAAAAAATTATTGCGTTTAATCGCACTGTTAAACAATAGAATACCAATTGAAATTTTTAAATATTTTTGGATGTTTTCTGCATTTTCAAATATATTGATTTCTATTACAACACAGAATGCAAAGTGTACAGTGCTCACTTAATATTTTTATTACAAATATTTGCAATGTAAAAATGATAAATAGTATTTCAGTTCACTGCATACAAGTACTGTAGCGCAATCTCTTTATCGTGAAAGTGCAACTTACAAATGTAGATTTTTTTTTGTTACATAACTTCACTCAAACAATACAATGTAAAACTTTAGAACCTATAAGTCCACTCACTACTACTACTTTTTCAGCCAAGCACTAAGACAAAAAAGTTTGTTTACATTTACGGGAGATAATGCTGCCTGCTGCTTCTTTACATCACCTGAAAGTGAGAACAGGCGTTCGCTTGGCACTTTTGTAGCCGGCGTTGCAACGTATATATGTGCCAGATATGCTAAACATTTGTATGCCCCTTCATGCTTTGGCCACCATTCCAGAGGACATGCTTCCATGCTGATGATGCTCATTAAAAAAAAAAAAGTGTTAATCAAATTTGTGACTGAACTCCTTGGGGGAGAATTGTATGTCTCTTGTTCTGTTTTACCCACATTTCATCTTATAGCAGTCTCAGACGATCACCCAGCTCATGTTTGTTTTAAGAACACTTTCACAGCAGATTTGACAAAATGCAAAGAAGATACCAATGTGAGCTACAGCATTCGACTCAAGGTTTAAGAATCTGAAGTGCCATCCAAAATCTGAGAGGGACAAGGTGTGGAGCATGCTTTCAGAAGTCTTAAAAGAGCAACACTCTGATGCGGAAACTACAGAACCTAAACCTCCAAAAAAGAAAATCAACCTTCTGCTGGTGGCACCTGACTCAGATGAAGAAAATGAACATGCGTCGGTCCGCTCTGCTTTAGATGGTTATTGAGTGGAACCGGTCATCAGCATGGACACACGTCCCCTGGAATGCTGGTTGAAGTATGAAGGGACATATGAACTTTAGCCACATCTGGCATGTAAATATCTTGTGACACCAGCTACAACCGTGCCATGTAAACGCCTGTTCTCACTTTCAGGTGGCATTGTAAACAAGAAGCTGGCAGCATTATCTCCTGCAAATTGTAACCAAACTTGTTTGTCTGAGCGATTGGCTGAACAAGAAGTAGGACTGAGTGAACTTACAGGCTCTAAAGTTTTATATATTTTTTATTTTTGAATGCAGTTATTTTTTAATACATAATTCTACATTTGTAAGTTCAACTTTCAAGATAAAGAGATTGCACTACAGTACTTGTATTCAGTGAATTGAAAAATACTATTTCTTTTGTTTTTTACTGTGCAAATATTAGTAAACAATAAATATAAAGTAAGCACTGTACACTTTGTATTCTGTGTTGTAATTGAAATCAATATATTTGAAAATATAGAAAGCATCCAAAAATATTTAAATAAATTGTATTCTATTATTGTTTAACAGCGCAATTGCACGATTAATTGCAATTAATTTTTTTAATCACTTGACAGACCTAATAAATTAGGCACCAAAATAGGTGGTTATTTCTTCAATGCTATTGAGGATTGAAGAGCTCCAACTGCTAAGCACTGGATTTAAAAGTCTTGCATTAAGCAGCTTAATTTGAAGACTTTTGGATGGTGTGGTTTATGATTCCCTAACTTTCTTCTATGCTCATAAGAAAGAGCTCACCTGTAGCCTACTTTCCTCAAATTTCATTCCCCTTTGATAAGCCCATGTTGTAATATGCTGAATTCCAGTAGCTCATGATCAGTAGTTTCAGCTGAGTGGAATTTCTCTGCCTGGTGACAATCTTAGTTTATGCTGTCTGCAGATTTATAATCAAATTAAAAACATACGCTTCTTCCAATTTATTTTTAGTCATAATTCACTCTCATGCATGCTCACATTTTACTTTACTAAAAGTATTACCATCCTAGACTTGTGCAGCTAGGATATTGCGCCATTCACAAGTAATGCACACGACAGCGATTTTTTCCACACAGGTCAGCATCAACTCATCCACATCACCATTACCTTCATTGAAGTTGTCGTCAGTCGAAACGTGGGTCAGTGGGGACTGGGGGCGAGAGTCGCCGCACAGGGAGTAGCTGTGTTCTGCCTGGATGAGGGGAGCTGGGGATGCTGGGGACAGCTCCACTTCCATCATCTCATTTTTCTCAGACATGAAGGGGTCATTCAAGAGCTGGCCTAGGACATCCTGCGAAAACTCATCCAGGAACTCCGTGAAGTGCTGGGAAGACAGAGAGTGAAGAACTCTTATCTAACGGGGGTGTCTAGCCAACAACAGAGATGCACTGACCAAAATAATTGCAGTATCTGCACCACGTGTCTGTGCCAGTTCGGAATGGAACCCAGCAGTCCTGCCTCCCAATCCCAGCTTTAACCACTACTCCACAATGAAGATAGAACAAAAAGGTTCTCATGTATGTACGTTAATTTAGCTATGCTGTCTCATCAGCAGCAAACTGTTACAGACAATTATAGTTTTCCTTATTTATGGATTGCTCATGAAGTGAGCAGACTATATACATGGAAACAGATTCTTAGTTAGTGGACGATGGCAGAGATCGTACCAATGTGTACCAGTGAAGGAGCAGGCCCTTTAAAATGCCTAGTTGCTGTGGTGATTGGCTCCCTATAAAAGTCTAAGAAACAGGTAAAAGCCCATGTTGCTGAAAGCAGAAAATAAGATCAGTTGCCATGTTCTGAAGCCAACCCCTTTGTTCCCAGGATGCAATTTTGGAGTGTGTTGCATTAATGAAAAAGCATATTTCATCCAGTCATGCAGGGAAACATCCTTAAGGATTTATATTCAAAACACATCCTTCGTCTGTATATGTAATCTGTCCCATGGGGTTTACATGCTCATTGAGCCACAGAGAAAGGATGGAGGGGGAAACTGGTGATCAGATCCATAGTATTTAGTGAACCAATCAATCTTTAAGCCCAATGTGCCTATTCCAGTGGTGTGGAACATTCTCTTCATCTTACCCTAGCGTAGAGAAAGGATCAAAACCCTGAACTGTGTTTGTTCTGGTACAAACTGCTAGTACATTTGGTTTAAAGAATTACATTCAGCCTGAATAGCTGCATGTTGATTATTTTTGACCGGAGGCTAATGTTAAAGTTCAGGTTCTCAACTCTGCAGTAACAGGCATTCTGACTACCAACATTAATAAGTCCTTCCCTGGTGCACTGCAAAGGTTACATTTAAGATGCATGACACTTTGTCTATTATTAGAGATGGGCCTGAATCAAACCACCTGATCTGATTAATATCCAAACTCTGGGGTAGTTTCAGTCAAGATGCAAACTTTGCAGCGGTTATTATATTTCCTTTGAGGGGCAGGAGGCTTAGTGTGTGTGTTCATATTTAGTAATTGCATTTCAGGAAACAATTCCAGACAGCGGCATGGCATACACAGACAGAGTATGATAGTTTCCATTAGTCACACACACACCCAGGGGGTTCTCTTTTCATACTCCAAAAAGTAAGCAGAAGATAGAAATGTAACTTCTTGCAAGCAATCAGGCATCCTGCATTAACAGCTAATAAATACAGGAATCTTTAATTAATTGGGCTATAATATCTTGAAAGTGGAAATTAAGTCCCTGGTTTATTTGCTCTGTTTTTGCAGGCAGTGCTGACTTTGGCGCTTATTCTCTCTCCTGCACAAGGAAACACAGATTCAAGATTTGGCTCCCTTGAGCATAAATTAAGAGTTTAACTAGTCAGTGATGTGTAGTCAAGTAATGGAAATGGTGCAGCTACACTCACATACCCCCTCATTTTATAGCTCCAGGACAGCTTGCAACCTAAAAGCCTTGTACTGCAAAGTGCTGACTTGTCTTGAATCCCATTAAAGTCACTGGAAATTTGGAGTGCACAGAACCTTCCGGGGGAGCAACTTGCAGGACTGGGCCTTACCTCAGCATTAACAGACTCCTGTCAACTGTACTGGCCACTGGAGACAAGAAAAGGTTTTTATTAGACTAAAGGGTAGTTTAAAAAAAAAAAGGAAGGAATTAGGTCATTGACTAGTAATGATGCTGGCTAGTGACAAGGCTGTTAAAAAGGGACAAATACATGTATACTCTTATCTTTAAGTGCCCTGAATGATAACACTACTAAACAAACTCCAGGACTAGTACTGGTTGACCCAAAAAGAGTGTCATGACCACTTCAAACCATTGTTTACATGAATTTCTAGAGCCAAGGACTCACTAGTGCATCACTTCCCATGCGCCTCTAAATATTTGCAATAGTAGGCATGCATTGTAATTCTCCACTGTTGGATACGCAGGCTAGAAAAATAGGCCTTTATTTGCCTATCCTATCGCCGTCAAAATCAAAAACACCGTTATTGACAGGACAAGGTATTTAACTATTGTCAAACTGTAATCAAGGAGAGAAAGTCATGCTCGAACAAGTGCAAGACACAAGCATGGCCAATCCTACGAGAGGCAGTACTGTTCTAAAGATGGATTTTCCACAGTGCATACTGCTCCCTTTCCTCCATGCCCATGGAACGCATCAGTCATTTCTTTTCAGTTTTATAGGGCAGGCTCGGAACATTTCTCTCTCTAAAATACTTGCGTGTGCTTATTGTGATTCTTTAGTCATGAAGATACAAAACAAGCATCCCAATCACCATCTCCCATTTCTGACCCCATATCATCTATTAATTATTAATTATTATTATTATTAAAGAAAATGACTAAAACTTTCCATCCCAAAGGATCCTAAAATGTGATTTGCTACCTTAAACGAACATGCCAGGAATCATTTAATCCAGAGGTTCTCAACCTTTTTCCTTCTGAGCCCCGCCCGGTATAAAAATTCCATGGCCCACCCGTGCCACAACTTTTTCAGTAGATTAAAAGCCGGCATTAGGGAGTAGCAAGCAGAGCAATTGCCCAGGGCCACACCACAGGGAGCCCTGTGTAAAGGGACTGTTGGCCCCTTACTAAAACTCAGTGCGTGGGGGGTTTTTTTGTTTGGCTTACTCCCCAGTACCAAAAGGAAAGAGGAAGGATCGATAGGAAATCAGGACCCTGAGACGGACAGTCCCCAGGGCAGGGGTTCTCACAACAAATTTTTTGGTGGCCTCAAAGTGCAGCCACCAACTCTTGCTGGTGGCTGTGCTGACAATTTTTCCTAAAATACTTAACTTTACGGGGAAAATTATACATATATACATATTTATATACATACATATTTATATACATACATACACACACACACCTCATTGTAATTTATTGAATATTTTTGCAGACTCAATAATAAACATCATGTACAGTTGTGTCTTTACAGGACCTAGACAGAATAGAAACACAAATAAGGTGTTCTGCAGGTTCTTGTCTTTTTTGTTGTTGCTACTTTTCCTTTTCTTTGGTTCGCCCCCCCCCCCTTTTTTTTTTTTTTTTAAAGTAGAGACTTGCTAGCTCAAAGGTGGGCAAACTACAGCCCGCGGGACCCTCCTGCCCAGCCCCTGACCTCCTGGCCCGGGAGGCTCGCCTCCGGCCCCTCTCCTGCTGTTTCCCCCTCCCCCGCAGCCTCAGCTCACTGCACCACCAGCGCAGTGCTCTAGGTGGCGCAGCTGTAGCGCCACCAGCCACCGGTGCTCCAGGCAGCGTGGTAAGAGGGCGGAGAGTTCGGGGTGGTGGTCAGGGGGCGGGGGTGTGGATAGGGGTTGGGGTGGTCAGAGGGCAGGGAACAGGGGGGTTGAATGGGGGCAGGGGTCCCGGGGGGGCAGTCAGGAAGGAGAGAGGGGGTTTAGATGGGGTGGCAGGGGGCAGTCAAGGGCAGCGGTTCCAGGGGGCGGTCAAGGGACGGATAAGGGGTGGTTGGATGGGGTAGGAGTCCTAGGGGGGCAGTCAGGAATGAGAGGAGAGGTTGGATTGGGCGATGGAGGGCAGGCAGGGCTTCCGGGGGCAGTCGGGACAGGGAGAGGTGGATGGGGCAGGGGTCCCAGGGGGGCCCCCCATCAGGGAAAAGGGGGGTTGGATGGGGCAGGAGTCCTGGGGGGGGGGCATCAGGGGACGAGAAGCGGGGGGGGTCGGATAGGGAGTGGGGGCCAGGCCATGACTGGCTGGCTGGGGAGGCACAGCCTCCCCTAATTGGCCCTCCATACAATTTCAGAAACCTGATGTGGCCCTCCGGCCAAAAAGTTTGCCTGCCCCTGTGCTAGCTAGTAAATCTGCTGCTGTGAAAGTGGTATTAAAAAAAACATACAAATATCACGTTTCACAGCAGCAGACTTACTCAGTCCTGGCAAGCCTGAGGACAAATTAAGCCTTGGATAGGGAGGTCAGGAAGTGGGAGACAGGAGGGAATGCATGATAGGCCAGCAGAGGCAGCGGGGGTCAGGGGCAATGGAGGCTTGGAGCCCCATGGCAGAGCCTGCTGCCCGCTACCCCAAGGCTGGAGCCCAATCCTACATCCTCAGGAAGGTGGGGAACTCACTAGCAGCCTCCTCCTCCAGCATTTGTGTCTCCAGAGGGGGGGCAGGGTCCAACCAATGCTAGTGGCCCTCAAGGAGGGACCACTGCTTTGCCCCTCTCCCCCCAGCCCAGGAGGCTGTGGCTACAAGCATTTGAGAAACACTGCCCCAGGGGCAATACGGAGAGGCCAATGCTCCAGGTCAGCCTGATTGACAGGGCGGGCAGGCTAATGAAGAAGGCAAGAGGCCAGAGGGGTCCGTGGAGCTGCCAGAGACAGAGTGGGGATGACTTGTGATACCAAACCCATGGAAAATAAGCAGAAATTGGGCTTGTTTTAGACTTAGTTGGCTTGTGCATTGCAGGCTGGCTAGTACAGTATTTGGACTTGTTAGGGCTTTTAAAGTAGCTGGTGGCTTGTAGCTTTTTTTGGAAGGGGGGGCGGCTTGCCCCTGGCCCAGCTAATCAGAAAGCTTGAATGATGATTGGCAATTAGCGCCAGCTGCTATGTCACCTGCAGGCAGGGCACCGGGGGTAGCCGGGCTGGTAACAGAGTGGAGGGAGCAGAGCTTGGTGGGGTAGAGCCGGGCATGGGACTACAGGGAGTGGGGGAACTGGGCTGTGGAGGAGCTAAGCTGGGGGGTGGCAGAACCGGGCACAGGACCGCTGGAGGACAGAACTGGGCTGGGGGGGAGGGGGGGAGGACTGGAGTCTGGCTGGGGGGCAGCAGAGGTGGGCAGGGACAGTGGGAAATTGGCAGAGGGATGGGGATTAGCTGGAACACAATGC